TCTGGTACATAATTCTATTTTTACAATCCCAACTTCAAAAGCTGTCACATTAATTACCTTTGATGTGTGTAAGTTACCAAACTAAACAATAAAAAGGACATGTTTTATTAATTCCTTCAAACATTAATCTCTATATCAAACTGGCAATATATATTAGGCACCAATTAAATTACCAATTAGTGGGGATATTTAAGAATTACAACACAATATCTACAACAGTTTATACTCCGTATGAGGATAGAGAAAATTACAATTCAGAATAAACAGGGGACCGTGGAGAGACAGTGCAGGCCCCGCTGGGCACGGCTCCTGGGAAGGGCGCAGGTCTCAGGGACCAGCAGGAACTGCTCCTGAGAGGAGACAGAAGGAGCCCCGCAGTCAGCGCCATGGGCGTCGGTGCTGTGTGGAGTGGGGAGAGAGATGGTGGAGAAGGAGAGAAAGGGGCAAAAGCTGAGGCTGGAGAGAGGACAAATGCACAGGGAGTGCGCAGCGAGTCCACAGGCTCCGCAGTTCCTCCGAGACTGAGGAGAGCAGTCACGGAAGCTGCAGGGGCATCGGAGCCACACGGGACTCCTGGGAGCGGTCACTGCGGACGGAGCACAGCGCAGACTGCGGCGTGCAGCTCTTCTCCGCCCTCGGATGCCGGACGTGAGTCACTGCTCACCACGGTGTAACGACACAGACAGCGGGGTTACTGCTGTTTAACAGGGGACTGGAAGATAGTGGCCAGTACTTGTCCAGTGTCACAGGGAAAGGACGTGGCAACACCAGGACTTCAACTCAATGTGACTAAGGGGAAAAAACTCATTGTTATGCAGGAGTCTCCCTTGTAAATGTCATCTGAAAAGTTTGGAATGAATTTCCACATATTCCTCAGAATACTGTTACACTTACATGTTTTGCTTATCCATAACACCATGTATTATGAAGTGAAATAATGGTTTATGATACAAAAATAAAAAATAGGAAAGCAAATATATTTAGCTAGCTTTCCAAATAAGAGTTGGAGATGTGTGAACTGGACCTTTCCTCCCGTCTTCCCAGCAGAGTCATCGCTCGTCCACCTCCCCTCAGCACTGACATCGCAGGATGAGGGCTCTGAGGGAACTCACCGGCCACTGAGATACGCGATAGCTTTTCTTCTCTGAGCACAGGGTTCTGGACTGCACAGGACACATCTGCTCTTGAGCTTGCTTTCACTGTGACGGAGCTTTTCACGTGGATCAGGCCATGTTCTTGTACAGACATCATCACAGAGTCATGTGACAGGGGCCGTCCTCGTGGGTCCCTCCACTGGAGCTCAGGGTCTGGGTACCACCCCGAGGACGAGCAGGTCATCTTAATGCTCCCACTGTGCGCAGGCTGAATGTGGATGTGAGGAGGGGCACCTGAGGCTGGAGGAATCGGGAGAGGGAAAATAAT